ATTTTTTCTGATGGTGAAGAACTCTCTTCTTGTATCCAGACACCATTCCCCTTAAAGCAATTTGCACCTGTTGCCTCTTGTCCTGTGCATCCTTCTGAAGAGAATACCTCCATCTTTTCTTTAACTGTCTGTTAGGGATTAGAAGACTGTGATTAGATCCTCCCCTGAGCCTTCTCTTCTCCAGGCTGAACACATTGAGTTTCTTGAACTGTTTGTCAAGATCTCCAGACCTCTAATGATCTTCATGGTCCTCTGCTAGACCCTCTCCCTCTTTTTTCAGTTTTTGTCACGAACTGGGAGTACCAGAATTGGACACAATATTCCAGGTCAATAGAGTGGGTCTCCTTTATCTGCTGACTGTACCCTTACCGATGCAACCCTGGGCTCATTCTGCCTTCATTGCTGCAAAGGCAGTGCTCGCTCCTGTTTAGTGCTCTCCATAAGAATCCTTGGGTCCTTTTCAGCAAAGCTACACCCCAGCTAGGCCAGTCCCACCCAGCTTGTTACGCTGTTTGGCATTATTCTATCTCATGTGCAAGACTTTACATTTATGCAATTCTTGTTGGCCTGATCTTCTAGTTTGTGAAGGCCTCTCTGCATGGTGGCTATTCCCTCTGGTGTATAGTACCTCTCCTCCCAGTTTGGTATGATCCACAAACTTGGTAAGCAAGCATTCAGTTCTGTCATCCACATCCTTTATAAAAGTGTTGAACAGTATCAGACCCAATACCAACCTCTAGGAACTCCCTTTGAGCTGCCCATGAGCCATTAAAAGCGTATTAGTCTCACCCTAAAAGTTCAAGCCATAATATTTCTGTAAGATTTTGAAAAGCATAGTTTCTGTAAGCAGCTTGGTAAATCAGATTATTTGAACTGTCACCAGGATCAGTAGGCATTATCCCTCTGATTTCTACTTTCTGAAATTATGGACCAGATGTGTCTTCAGAAACTGTCACATTACAGCTAGAAAGGTCCTCATGAGTTGTACATGGAGAAAAGCTAAATCTGCGCGAGGAAAAGAGCTATTAAGAATGGTCATTCAGCTGTTAGGAAAGATTGTTCAGGAGTTTTCTGTTGTGAGAAACATTTCTTCTGTATGAAAAGAGAAAAGCAGTAAAGTTGACTTTGTTTCCTGGAGAACTTGACTGGCCTAAAGATTTTGAGACAGCTGCTCACTGTGGATACTCTGTTCCAGAATTTAATTGTTGCTCTTTTGTTACTTTTTTATAGCAATTAATCTGAATCTGACTGGCATT